TTTATCCTGTTTTCCTTCTCTCACCCCAACCGGTTGCAGCAGATGGCCCCGCCCCTCCCTGAGCCTGGTTCGGCCTTCTAATCTTCAGTTGTTTCCAATCTAAAGCCACAGCATTTCCTCAGTGGGTGAGGCTTGTAGTGGATGGGACAATATTTATCTGGTTCATCGTTAGCTGTTACCTTCTGATCTGCATCCGACTAGACATTAGTCTTTTGCATCGACACTGGTTTCCTGAATTTTACAGGCTTTAAGAAAAGCCTCTCTAGCTTGGGAAAATAGTTGCTTTGATGTACAAAGCTGGGATCATTCCTTGTCAAGACAAGGAATGATCCCAACTGCCACCAGGCAGAAACTGCCTGGTGGCAGATAAACTGAGTAAGGAAAGAGACGGGATGATAAGATATATGATACTCTTCCTTATACTTTGATCCTTGAGAAATCCATTTGTCCTGCAAGTTGCATGGCGGCTTCTGCACAATGGGGCTAATGCTGCAAGCAAGTCCAACTCTTAACTGGTGGTAAGGTTTAAATCCTTTATTGTGGTAAGGAAAGATGACGTTCATGATCTGTAGGTTTCTGGACAGTCATCAAATTGTGATAATTGTGACCGACCAGTTCTCTATGTGCCAAAGTTTTTGCCATGTCCATCACAGCTGCACTGGATGCATACTCTTCGTCAGGGGACTAGCTGCATATTGGTTTTCATTTGTTCATGGTGCAGTCAAAGCACTTAACATTCACAAGAGCACTTTCTTCCTCACTGATCTTCTTCTATGATTAAAGTGCTTATGCATATTCATACTCTGATGGATGCATCAGAGAGCAGCTTTGGTTAATATCTTGCAATATTTGGCATGCAGACTTGGGGGAGCCAGGGATCGATCCACCAAACTTTTGATTCCAAACCTTCCAGTAAATGACCTGCTCTGCCTCCTGAGCTACAGCAGCCTGCGGCCTTTAATGTGTCTACCTGGGATATGCAGCTGCTGCCTACTTTTCAAAATGCAGGGCATCTAAATTAGCCTCCAATCTTGCTTTGGAAACCTTGATGGCATTTTCCCTTTCTACAAATGTTTCACATGCTCTTGCAGCTTCTGCCAATGCTCTTGCTCATGCCGCTTCAACACCCCCAGATGATTTTGATGAGCATTTAGAACCAGAATGTTTAGAGCTGATGCCTTATCTTTAATGCTCAGTGATTTCTTCAGTGAAGGGCTTCTCCAGCATGTCTTGTCCATGTTTACTGTTCACTTCAAAAAACTGCGATGTACAGGGTGGGCCATTTATATGGATACACCGTAATAACATGG